ATTAAAATTGCCTAGTGTTAAGATATGTTGTTTTAAGACTGAGGCGTTCAAGGTTGATTAGATTTAGATAAGTGTATGTTTTGATTTGATTATATATCTGATAGGTGTGTCGTATATCTGTCATGTCACGGAATTGTTCTATTGTCATCATCTTAGATGCCAAATCCTGGCAGATCTAAAAGTTTACCCTAATTAATAACGATTCGAGTTCGAAACCTGCTTTGGTGTGATCAGTGCACCGTATTCTTTATGTTAGGAACAGACTACATTTTGGTATTTAGTGTTGAATTGGCTATTTTTAGGTGGTTTCCCTATCGTTATCCATGTTTAAATATTTTACAATACCCATTTATTTCACAGTAAAAGCAAAATAAACGGTTAATAATATATACCCTCTTTACTTTAGCGAAGATATAACTTTTCAAACCGTAGATACCTGGACCCTCCCACCAAGAGCTTGCTGGAGCTAAGAACAGGCCTGTAAGAGGTCGTGGTACCATTTGTTCGATCGACTATCTTTAGAATGGTTAAATATAGTCCAAGTCTCTTCCACAAATACACTTACCTGTAGATTCGGATTTACCTTTTAATTCTGTATATGAACCGACTGGTCAGCGATTGCGATTGACCTCAAATTCATAAATAAAACAATTTATATTAGATAAAGTACATCAACTCTCGACGTGTTCCAGTTGAGAAAGGGTAATAGTTCCTTTTGCCGACTAGATTCACAGCGGCGTGCGTGCGTAATACATCAAATTGAATGATGACAAAACTGAAGCTATGTTTTGGAACAAATAGACGCCTTCAGAACGTATCTCAAACAAATGTTAAAATTGGAGACTCGGTTATTCAGTTAGCTAGTGCTGTGAAGGATCTTGGTGTTTATCTAGATCCTTGTTTGTCTTTTGAAACACAGTATGATAAGCTGCGTCAGTCCTGTTACTTTCATTTGCGACGCATCAGTGATATTCGACATCTCATTACAATTGATGCCGCCAAATCTCTAGTACAGTCACTAGTTCTGTCCAGTGTCTACGAAATCTTGGACCCATTTATTTATCAGAACTGCTAACAGTATATCAACCAAATCGGTCCTTGAGATCTTATTACCAGAACACTCTTGTCGTTCAATACTCAAAACTGAAACATTTTGGTGACAGACGTTTTAGTGTAGTTGCTCCTAAATTGTGGAATGATTTACCACCGAAAATCCGAAACAGTGAAACTCTGACTACTTTCAAATCACAGCTGAAGACTCACTTATTTCGAGAATGCTACGAGAATTAGACTTTCTATTCACTTTGTATATAACTGTTGTCTCATTGCGCTTTGAGCATGCTTTTGGATGGATTTGGCGCCCTACAAATGTACATTATTATTATCATAACTAGTGTGGATGAAATGCCGAAAGTTAGCGAAACAAAAACCATTTTGATTTCATTTAATCCATAGAGCCGACCCATGTCAACATTAAAAATAAAGGGTGCGCCGCCATTAGTCAAATAGGGTAATAATCTTTATGATCGATCACACCAAATACATTTGTCTGAATTTGAACGTACAAAATGATAACGGTTTAGCATTAAACAACTACGGGAGTACCTGTAGTTACACAATTTAGGTGATATATATCGTGAACAAGTAGAGTTGTACAATTGACATTGAAGACTACAATATTGAATTTGTCATTAAAAAGTCAACTTTTTATTTATTTTACAGATTGGAAAGCGAATATTCTAATTAAGTAATATACAATAAGTCGGGTAACCCTGTCATTCCGCCAGTTCAAGGGTATTCGTGTAGAAGAACGTATGGTAATTAGTTAAAGCTAATCTGTCGACTTATCTGTAACTTATGTTTAAATCTGACACTAATTTCACTTAAAGCTATTCTTATTCTCACGAGCTCTTATATACTTGTCAATATAGAGGACTCTTCAAGTCTCGAATATCACGTCGTTAAATCGATCTTGCCATCTCGATATCACCGTCTAGAGAGAATATAGCCTATTAATGCCGGAGTGTGAAATGAAACTGAGTACTCTCGTTTGGTCCTTATGAAATATATAATATAACAAATGAATGGCGCCTTTATGGCTAATTTAAAATTTGTGACAAGTATATATATTGCATATTTTATATATGGGCCGAAGATTGTTTTTTACCATTTCGTGAAAAACAACCAAAAGGGAAGCAGATATTTCGAATAAAAAATATACAACTGGCTTACGCTCTTCGAAACGCCTACTAATACCAGGGAGGTTATTGGCACATTTGACCAATTTCCCCCAAATAGGGGCCTTGCAGCTTACCAATTAAAAAATTTTCCAGGCAATCTGGCAGCAGGGTGTGGTTATTTGCAGGTATTGGTACAAGAAAAATATATGAATGAATAAATGAATATAGGCCTAGTTAAACTTATTCATATCCTGTAACTTCGGGCCTCCTAAATTGGACCCGCATTTTAAACAACCGGCACTGGTTACTGCTTTCCAGGTGGGATTCACTTTTCTTTTAATAAAACCCGTTTTTCTTTGCTAAATCCTCTATATGACTGTGTTTTTGAATAACATTTAAGATTGACTAACTTCTTAACTCTAATATTGTAGCAATACATTTCAAATGTTTGGTAAAGTGATTGTGCTAATCATTTGATTAGAACCGCCGTAATGATCGAGACTGTGATCAGTGACGTGTAATGTGATTGATGACGTACGTGTTACGTGTTGAAATATGCTCTATAGGGTTACCAGCTAATATGAATAATTAGATGTGCGAGCCTCGGTAATACTCATTAGACAAACTCAAGTCCCTTGATTTATTCCAGAAATCTGTCACGGCCAGTTTGATTGGCACTTGGCTTGTATCTGTTAAGTGCTAAAAATTAGAAAAATTTGTATTTAACTGGAAAATTGTCACAGTTGATTATAACCACTTCTTCAAATATATTAACCAGACCAGTGTCAAAATTCACCATTTCCCGAATCCCTAGTCTGGGCAATAGTTTGTTAAACCATCCCAGTCGTTCCACATACTTTTTTCTAACCTCTCTGCTCTGGCAACAATCTTTATGCACTATATTATTTCTAAGAACCAATGTTAGTCTTTGTGGGACCCTACACCAGCAAGTCTTTATGTTGTTTTACATATTAAATTTTAGGCTAGTGTAATTAAGATATCGCTCTAACCTTTAAAACAATGCAATGCACAAATGGCTACCTTTTGACTGTTGCTCATCACTTATGGCCGTCTTGTCTCCGGGGTTTAAACATAAGTTCTGATATTTAGGATAATCGACTGTCTGATCTCTTAATCTGATCAGTTTTATCTTCTCGATCAGAAAGGACATGACCTCTTTAGTTTGTGCATGTATATAAAAAAATATTTCGAAGAGACGTGTTGTGACCATATGTTCGAGATAAATGTTTACATTTAAAATTTTACTCCCGTGGAATAAGCATGATTTGATATTGCCACTGGTAAACAATAGGACCGTCGAAATAAAAATTGAAAAGTTGCACACCAGTTCCTGTAAATTCATTAACTTAGCTTCAACTTTAGGAATGAAAACTGCTATGCATTGCACATATTGGGTGTATATCTGAATCAGTGGGTTTAGGCTGTTCCCCAACCAACATTCATTTAGCAAAATAACATATATTTTTACACACACAAACTCATAATGAAAGAGGTTCTGGTTCTTAAAAGAGATTAATCTTCTCGTACATCAACATTAATCATAATATGGTCAGCCGTTATAGACCGGTCTACATCTACTACATACACCCGTAATCTCGTTCTGACAACTAGAAATCCCTTCATAGTCAGCCGTTAAACTACAGGTCTAGATCTACTACAGCCATCCATAATCTCATTCTGACAACATGAAATCCCCGATCAATCTTTGATTATATAATAATCATATTATTAATCCTACTTGGCACCATTTACTCGTTTGATATAATAATACGCATTAGCTTTGTTCTACTTTGCTTTACCCTGATCGGTTGTCCATATACAATTAAAGCACTGATATTACGATTGGTGCACATACGTCTTTACATACAAATAAAAACAAAACAAAATATATAGAAGTATTTCGCCTTTTGTCGCTGTTCGACATGTTTAACTCACATGTCATGAACCTGGCTTAAAAAACCAATTTGGGGCCTAATTTACACATTCAAGCCCGCAACATAAGGGAAGTGGTACTAGATGTTATAGAAATAATTACTGTATTTGATAATTTAAGAGTACATTTGCGTATTTAAACCACATAATAAGTAAACAAAATTCTCTGTGGAATTCAACTTCGTTAAGTCTATAAGCTATATCCTCAAAAATGTCTTAGCTATGTTTTACAGAGACATATATTTGGGACCCCTGTATAGAGCTTTAACAAAACATAAAAGCAAGAACTTATAATATACATGGGTGGTGAGAGTGTCATTTTACTTCTTTAGAATTTGAGAGCGTGTTTATGAAGATTTTGACTATCATATTTCACTGCCATGTATTCACGCAGATGTATTTTTACTTTTTATATATGTATTAATGTTCTAAAACTTGCCGCGTTTATTTGGCACCATGCTGTTCTGTATTAATGTCTGGTAGACCCCTAGTTGTCTTTGATGAGGTTTTTATCATATGAACGAAGCTGGTGATAAAAAATGTTGATTTTTTGATTTATTAATTCACGAGGGCAGCTGGAATCATGGCTGTGGCTATGTTAATTTATTTAGTCTGTGGTATAAAACAGATTAGAAGGGTTTAGTCCCAGCTAGATCACCAGTAATGCCGCCGTAATGATTGTACTGGACGATACAAATCAATACTAACATGGTTAGAAGCACGTGTTAATGTTTACATCACGTGACAAGAAGGCGTGTTAGAGATAATCTGATTGGCCAATCAATGTCATCACTCAACGTCACATGACTGACAGTTCTGTTACACACGCGAAGCGTATCGCACGGCAATAATAGAAGGTCAAAACAGCCCTTGTGGTACAAGGAATGTGTTATTAATGAAAAGACGGCTAGAGACCAGCATGTAGAAGAGTGTTGTAGTCGTTTTAGTAGGATTACATTGTTGACTTAGATAACAAACGAATGAAGTGTTAACAGTCAACAAATGAAGTGTTAGCCATGATGTGAGGAGTTGACTCTAGAATCTATAGCAAGTGACAAATAACTCAACAAAGTGGATTAATGCAAAGGAGCTGTTGATCTTTAAACTTGGTTTTATTGTGAAATTCTAATTTTGAAGAATTGAATAGAACATTGTAAAGTTCAAACACGAAGACTTATTTGCACACATGTCAATACCTTGGATTATCGAAAACCTATTTAGTGAAATGTTGATTTTTTTTCAAAATTAAATCATATTCCACTAACTGAACCAATTGGTATAGTAAATCGTGAAGATAGTGAAACAGATTCGACAAACTTTTGCCAATACTAAGGAATGGTGACGATCTGTGAAGGAAAAAACATTCTAATTGTGTGTTCTTATGATCACCTACGTTCATCACCTAGCGACACTAGAATGCGATAATTGCATGTTTTTCCGCGTTAATTAGATGCAGCTGCTATTATTTGTTAATGTGGTTGATTTGTTGTGTAGAAAACATCAGAGTTTATGGGCAAGGCTGTTTACCACCATCTATTCGTAGCAATTAAACCCATTCTGTCGGAAGAAACTGTTTCATGCCAAAAACCCTGATAAACTTTAGCTCTTCGGTAAACGAAAGCAGGTCTTGGCTATAAATTTGAAGAGTGAGAGAGATAGCCGACTACGCTGGGTAGTAAATAATTTTATTTGGTATTTCTATTTACACCGGAAACAATTTCGCATTTTTCTAATTTAGGGATCGTGGAAGCAGATTCACGAATTTACATATTGTTTCTTTAAAGCTAAAATACTTCACCTAGACTCAACGTAGGCAAATATTTGAGGTGATAAATGTAAGATTTTTTTAAAGCTAAGGATATATCTCGAACGTTCACCATGTTGTCATGGTCGGATTCCGATCACTAAGATGTGGAACTAGAGGATTGCTCTTCGGAAGAGATGGGAGAAGATATCGATACTTTTGCATCATGATGAAGTCTTGTGTGTTTGTAATGTGCGCGTGTTTTGTGTTGGTAACTATGGCTAATCCTGTAGACAAAAGTCTATTACAGACAATACCAACTGAGAATTCTCTGGGACATGTCCCGTCTAGGTTGGAATTAGCTTCTAAACACAATCCCCGACATGGCCGAGTATTACAGCGATCGGATTACTACGATTCCATACCGAAAAGTCCATTGCTAGTGGAAAATGGAGAGAAGAAATCCGTCGATAACAATGAGAAGGCTATTTATGTTGACGATGATAACCAAGTATTGTATCTCGATTCACCCGAGCAGGCTTTCACGCAGTCAAACAGACCCCATATAGACAGCTCAAATAATAGAAAAACATCGGTTACAGCTACAAAGAGACTTCCACAAGCTTTAATTATCGGGGTAAAGAAAGGTGGAACACGGGCCTTATTGGAGTTTTTAAGGATTCACCCTGATGTACGAGCCCCGGGCCCAGAACCCCATTTCTTTGATCGACATTATGATAAAGGACTTGAGTGGTACAGGTATGTAGGCTATAATTATCTCCCCTTTGAAATCTCTTTAATTGATATAAAGAGTTTGCTATTAAGCAAGAGTGAGAATACAAGTAGGGATAAAATGCTAGATTTATCTTGTGTCAAACAGGTGGCGATGTTTGTTAGTAAATTCTTATTTGGTTTGTATTTTGTAGGGATTTGAAACACGCAATTATATTATTTTATATAAACATACACGACGTTGCTGTTCAAGATACTTCTAAAATGATTTGTTTAGACTTAGGGGTTGTATAATTGTTGTAAAAAATGAGAAAGGGCTATCTCACTCGTACTGTATCTGTAAAAGGGTTTTGATATGATGAATGTATACAGTTGATAGTTTAAATAGTTCAATTTGTGACACTCCAAATTTCAACCATGTGGCATATACGAGGCAGTGAATACTCGCCGTTTTAGAACACCAGATGTATTTGAAAGCTTCGTGGACATGTATATGCAATTCAAGGTACCACTCTAAAAACATGTGTAAGATATTTACTGGGGAGATTGTTAATGTTCCTTTAAATTGCCACGTTCGATAACAAATTAGACATATATTAGTTTAAACATGTTATACAAGTACAAGAACGGCACGACATTTAGTCATAAAATGACACTCCAACCCTTGCACCAGTGCATTATAATTACCAACATGTTCTCCGTATAGGCCAGACTACGGTAATTGACAGTCCGGTATTTTCGCATTCACATGGTAACCCCCATGAACATAAAGTACATTATTCCATTTATTTCGGAGAGATGCATCTTTTTACGGTGTGCAGCAAAACCTCGGGCATAACTGTGATGAATGTTAATGGAATCGGAAATAGTTTTAGGTACACTATACGTCATGCAGAATACTGTTTGTATTTGGAACCCAGATGGTGCGAACTACAATCTTGTGAGATGTTAGAATACAGCATTAAGCTAATATCAGAGAAAGCAAGCAGCATATTAATCAATATAAGAGGCTTTCTGTGGACCACCGTGGTCTATAGTTCTTGTCATGTGCACTAAATCTTTTATCATCCGAAGCTCAAACCAACATTCTTTTCATGGTAGATTTGTAGGATATATGGTGGAAGTTCAGGTTACATTTTCATTTCTTTCTTTAATTAAGAAATAGAATTGGTTGTAGTTGTGAGAAAGTTTAGTTAGAAGTAAATCTTTTATGAGCTGAAGCTCAACCTTTTCATCTTGTCCATGGTAGATTTGAAGACTATTTGTGTGATTCATGTTAGACTTTCATTTTGAATTGTTTGATAGGTTAAAATTAAAATGAAGGGTAGTATAACATCTATAGTATAACATCTATTATTACCACCACTTCGAACTGGGCGTTAATGTCCGCGAAATCGCCAACAGGGTATAACGCCTTATACTACCTCTATTGGTACGGTAGTTAGCCTAAAGTTTTTACATATTGATTTAATTTGGAGATAGACTTTACTCGTAAATAAATACATCTGGAGAGGCCAGGGATTAAAATGTATGCTTTTGTAAGTTTGTTTTATTAAATTTGATCTTTTAAAGAATACAAACACACTGTAAGACCGTACTCATACTTCAATTATTCGCATATGATTGTATTTAACCCTAAAGTTTATGCAATTCTAGTGAACCTATTAATTGCTACACTTGAGTAAGCACGACATCACTTACACGACCAGCCTTATGGTGTGATTTTCGATCATACCTAATGAAATTGGTAGCTAGACTAGGTGTGTCTGGAGATTGTCTTGAAGACGTAATTTGATTAGCTAGGGGGCTATTTAATTAGTGTCTACATGTCTGCCAAGCTGTGTCTCCATCAACGCCCAGCTAACTATTAAACCGTTTATTATAGCGTTGTACTTCTCAGAGCACGTGATTTAACATGTTGGCTTACGAAATATAGCGATTAAATAGACGTGGGAGTATTACAACTAATATTGGACGTTGTTTTAGTTCATATATACCTGTTAATCTCGCCACAGCACATTGAACAACAATTGTCGGTAGAAATGGCACTAACAAGCGGTTGTCGTGCAACTGACGCCCGCATTTTACATAGATTGACATGATTTCACAAATATGTTACCAGTCATTATTTTGATTTGGATGTACAAGTACATGTAATTACAGCCGACCGGTGCATTTCTAATCTTGAGGTCAGTGTTGTTACGGGTGTCTCACACGAGGCAGGATATGCTTACTCATTTATGAAGACCATGGCTAATTGATGAGAGTGTTAGTTTCATGTGCCGAACAGTGTGATTATTTTATACATCTGTTTTAAACTTTTATATATTTTTGTAAACTTAAACTAGCATTTCGCACCGTTACCACATGTAGGACAAAGTACAATTTGTTAATTAACCTATTCTGTTAAAAAATAAACGTAGCACATGTTTTGCTCTGAATTTGTCACTTTTTAACAGCAACATATTATTAGAAAAAATTATATCTTAATATCCCTTACACGCGTGTCTGCGTTGTTGACACACACAGGGGATAAGCCATTTCGGGACTAACATACGTCATATTTTTATTTCAATAACTCGCTTGTTCGTCTCGAAAGCGCGACACTTGACTCATTGGCAGACGTTATGATCTAAAGCGTTAGACCATGCACAGCACCCAGGTTTCGTTTGTGTAAACATTTAACAGCTGGAATACGAACCACAACCCCTGATTTCACACGTAACCCTATTAGTTGAAAACATTCCCCAACAGAACCCAAGTAAAATGTCGACGTGACGGTAAAACCAGCCCCACTATATTTTAATGTGTGATTAAGTTGGTGATTCTCAAGTGGACTACTAAAACTTTCTCTGGAGTTTATTGTGTAACACTCGTGTCCAATTTGATTATCCGAAGTCACACCGTTCTGTAGCCTTCTGTTCGCAAGTTGGGATTGATTGATATCATTTTACATAGCCAGCCTCTCTCAAGTTTTTGTCGAAGTACACTTTCGATGTAATGCTATACTATAAGGGTAACTCGATCGAGGTACGCTTACGTTTTACTAAGCATCCATATCCTTAATTGATTTGGAGATATATAGCGAACAGTTTTTGTGGCTATGAAATGTTAGAACCACGGAGGCAGATTTTAAGACTGTTCAATAGTATGTACCAAATCAGGGTCAAGCTTGATAACGCCAGTGGAATGCATTTCGTCTACTAAAGTCACTATACTGTAGATGTATATCCCCCAGAGTATATAGAAGCTATTTCAAGAAGGGTAATATACTGATGGCTAACTTAGAGGCAGTATCTGTTCATCCACGGTGACGGATTTTATTGCTGTCGGTCGGACTAGATTACACTTTACGACCCTAACTAACGTTTGATTAGGGTTTCATTAGGTTAGATGAGCCCAGTTTCATCTTTTAAAGATATATCAGATAGACGTCTTTATGGGGTGAAAACGAGCGAAAGCGTGCTCACGAGTAAACAAGTTATAGGGTAGCTGGATGAGCAATCAATGAAACAAATTGGTGAGATTTTATAAGCAACTTGATTCTACCCTCGTATTAGGAGAAAAATCAAATAATTACTGTGTGGGCGATAGCATTTGAAAGCTGATATTTGGTGTGAGCAACCTAAAACCTTAAGTGGGTTTTCTTTAAAATTCAAAAATATTTATATTCATTTTCAATGGCACTGTTCGTGATCGTCTAAATCACATAACCTATGGTTAACTTTGTCTCATACGAGAATCTCCGCAAAGAATAGTGCAAATTCTTAACCATCTCTTTCCACCAGAAAGCGGTAAAATTGAATAATGAATGAGAAAACCCAATCCCGGGACTGACTGTATCTTGCCTGCATGTGGATGTTATTACAAGGCTCAAATCAACTCTAAACAAGAGGTAGCGCTCAATCACCAAACTAATTCTTGAAATTACAATATAATTCCCGCTACTCGTTACATGAAAATGCATCTGATGAGCTAAACTCGTTTCCGAATCGAACTCGTGATCATTTACTTGGGGTATTGTACTACTAAAAGCTGACGTGTAGTCTGCTTCGTCGCAAAAGAACATGCCTGACAACTGAAGTGGAAAAAATAGTGCATTATTTTTTAGAAGAGTAAGATTGGCAGGAAGCCTGGCACAGCCTAACACTGGATATTGATCACGCAAGGGTTAATATTCTTCTAGAAAACATTACATCATTACCCAATTCGAGTGTAAGAAAGCCTTGAGCGTTTTTGTTATTTTTTAATACGGCTTTCTATCCTATTTTTTATGGAACTTAGTCATCCCTTCAGGTCAAATCAGACTTTCACAGAAAATGAAGAAATCGTTTTACAGACTGATAGCTAGAGTAATTAATCATTTTCTAGTTGCTTTTGTTTAAGGGTCCATATTAACCCCCACGCAGTTTAGCGCAATGGGATAATTTTCGCCGTCTTGGTATTATTATTTGTTGGGAGAGAGAGAGAGAGAGAAATGGGGTTTAACGTCCACTCGACACAAACTAGGTCATTTCGGGACTAATTTGTTGGACATTATATAACAAACGATTGCTACTTATATTAATATATACATTTTACTACATGTACATGTGTGAACATTAAAACCGCCGATCGTCATTTAAATTTGTTTAATATCTTACAAGCCATACAACTGTGAAAGCTGAATCTCTAAAAGTAGGCCTAATGTCAGTTCATTCATTTTTTATTTTTATAAAAATGTGAATTAATTAAACGTTTAGCAACATTCGAAAGAAGATATAAACAAGTCAGCTTTGTGTAAACCCCTTTGATGGTCACCTGTTTAATTCCACTGAATCCAAGCCGAGGGATTGTCTACATGTACATGTACCGTTGACAACTTGGTTTTTGTTCTTAAAGGGTCAATCTCGATTATATTTTGGAGAATAAAACTGCTTAATTTTGTGTGAAAAGCCCTTAAAATCCTCTACCTTAGTGCCGAGCAACTAACTCAATATACGTGATACGTTTTCAAACTACTTAAACCCGTCAGTCTTCATCTGAAA